TCATCCAACACGAAACACTGGATTCATCCAACACGAAACACTGGATTAATTCTTTATTGTATTTCATGTATTTCTTTCAGTGTTTAAATATTCAGACTGTGGCTGAACATGTTGGTTCTGATGTTTTGGATCACGTTTGTTGTTCCCAGGCCGACCCTGCTCCTTGAGAACTACCAGCCTTGGCTGAACCTGAAGGTTCACTCCAAAGTGGACGCGTCAGTAGCTGAGGTACCTTCAATGTGAACACACCTTGATCACGGTCCATGTCGAAACGTCCAGATGTGATGATGTTTCTGTCTCCTGCAGGTGTTTGAGCTGGTTCTGGAGAAGTTTGTGTTCCCCTGGTATCGGTGAGATGACCCCGAGAGGAGTTTAATTTAAACAGACACCTGACGATTCATTAACCTGACTGTCTGGTTTCAGGGAAATCACGGATGACGAGGCGTGTTTAGACCAAGTCCGGATGATTTTTCGCTTCTTTGCATCAGTGCTCATCCGCCGAGCACAGAAGGTGACACTTCACCGTGGTGGTCCTTTTCTAAAACCTGCAGGAACATCAGTATTTCAATTAAAAAGAGGTTTCAAATATTACAAAAGCTTAACTGGCTGTTCTCCTAAATGTCTCTTTATGTAAACCTGCATTAAGAAACATCTCCTCAACGTTCCTCGTGTAGATCCTGTTGTTTGATCTTAATCTTAATGATAAAAGAATCTTCAGCTGATGGAGCTGAATTCTTCTTGACGGATCAGTTTTTTATCTAAAATGTCAGACAAACGGCGACGGGAGGCGTTTGTCTCTCTGTTGATGTTTCTCCTCCGATCCGTGTGGCAGGTCGACGTCCCGGCGGTGTTTGCAGACAAAGTGATGAAGGCTGCCATGAAGCACATCGAAATTATTACCAAAGCTCAAGCAAAAGGTGCGAACGCCTTCCACAGGAGGTCCTGTCAGCGAGCGCACCTGCTGCCGTCAGGTCTGAACCAAGTTTCGTTTGTTTCTGGTCGAGCAGTGAAGGCTGGGCAGAGTTTGGAGCAGGCAGCTCTGGAGGAGTACGGCAGCAGCCTCCACGTCGCTCTGCACAGCCGGAAAGACGAGCTGCTCTACCTGAGGACGCTGACACAGATGCTGTTTCCCTACGTCTTACCTCCCAAAGCCAGCGACTGCAGGTACGCTGCCGCCAGCCTGCCTCGCCGGTCCGTCCAAACGGTCGAGTGCAGACTGGTGTCCAGTTTTAGTAAAAGTGATGATTAATACAAGCTAACGGCTAGTCTGACCAATGTGCAGTCTTAAAACGACTCCAGAACCCCACGTGAGAACGTCTGGACTAAAATATTTCCTGTATTGAACACTTTGTACAGCACAGTAATGTCCTGGTTCTGTTCAGGTCTCTGGCTCTGCTGCTGCGGGAGGTGATGGCTGGTTCCGTCATCCTGCCCACCTTGGACTTCATGGCCGACCCTGTAAGTCCAACTGGATCTTCCTCACGCCTAACCACAAAGGAACAGAATAAATCCATGTTTAAGGCTGTAAAACATCAAAACTGATGAAGCAACACAGAATCAGTCCAGTACTTACCCAGTCATTACCAGGCAGTACCAGTCAGGTACCGGTCAGTACCATCCAGTACCAGTCAGGTACCGGTTAGTACCAGACAGTACCAGTCAGGTACCGGTCAGTACCAGCCAGTACCAGACAGTACCAGTCAGGTACCGGTTAGTACCAGACAGTACCAGTCAGGTACCGGTCAGTACCAGCCAGTACCAGACAGTACCAGACAGTACCGATCAGGTACTGGTCAGTACCAGGTACCGGTCAGTACCAGTCAGTACCAGTCAGGTACCGGTCAGTACTGGTCAGTACCAGTAGGGTACCAGTCAGTACCAGTCAGGTACCAGTCAGGTACCGGTCAGTACCAGTAAGGTACCAGTCAGGTACCAGTCAGTACCGGTCAGTACCAGTAAGGTACCAGTCAGTACCAGTAAGGTACCAGTCAGTGGACAGTTTTCATAAAGTTTTCTGTGTTGATGTTTTTCAACTCATATTTTTTGATCGTGTCTCGTTGTTTCAGGACAACGTGAACCTCATGGTGCTTATCTTTGTCGACGACACTCCGGTAAGTCGGACCGTTGCTGGCTTCAGAAAATATTCACACCTGCATCTCTTTTGGTAGTTTTGTGTTGTTTGTGTATTTTTAAACTGCGATCTGTACCCCATAATAACCCCATAATAACCCCATAATGAGAAATTATTATACAGTAGTCCCTCGTTTATCGTGGGGGATCTGTACCCTAAAGCCTTGTGACAAGTGAAAAACCGTGAAGTAGGAATAGTAGTACAAGTAGTCTGCCTCAATGCTCACGTGGGCAATGGCAGTGAGACCTGGAGGGGTGTGGTTGGGAGGAACGGCCCCCCTGATCTGAACCCGAGTGGTGTACTGTTATTGGACTTCTGTGCTCATCATGGATTGTCTATAACGAACACCACATTCAAGCATAAGGGTGTCCATATGTGCTCTGGGCACCAGGACACCCTAGGCCGCAGTTCGTTGATCGACTTTGTCATCGTCTCATCTGATCTGCGGCCACATGTCTTGGACACTCGGGTGAAGAGAGGGGCGGAGCTGTCCACTGATCACTACCTGGTGGTGAGTTGGCTCCGATGGTGGGGGAGGATGCCGGTCAGACCTGACAGACCCAAACGTATTGTGAGGGTTTACTGGGAACATCTGGCAGAGTCTCCTGTGAAACAGAGTTTTAACTCCCACCTCCGGGAGAACTTTGAACATGTTCCGAGGGAGGTGGGGGACATTGAGTCCGAGTGGGCCATGTTCCGTGCCTCTATTGTCGAGGCGGCTTACTGGAGCTGGAGCTGCAAGGTTGTCGGTGCCTGTCGCGGTGGCAACCCTCGAACCCGATGGTGGACACCGTTGGTGAGGGATGCTGTCAGGCTGAAGAAGGAGTCCTATCGGGCCTTTTTGGCCTGTGGGACCCCGGAAGCAGCTGATGGGTACCGGCAGTCCAAGCGACATGCGTGGTCACTGAGGCAAAAACTTGGGTATGGGAGGAGTTCTGAGAAGCCATGGAGAATGACTTCCGCACGGCTTCAAGGCGATTCTGGTCCACCATCCAACGTCTCAGGGGAGGAAAGCGGTATGCCACCAACACTGTTTATAGTGGGAGTGGTGTGCTGCTGACCTCAACTCGGGATGTCATGGGTCGGTGGGCAGAGTACTTTGAAGACCTCCTCAATCCCACCGGCACGTCTTCCACTGAGGAAGCGGAGCCTGGGGACTCTGGGTCGGGCCCTCCAATCTCTGGTGCTGAGGTCACCGAGGTGGTTAAAAAGCTCCTTGGTGGCAGGGCCCCAGGGGTGGATGAGATTTGCCCGGATTTCCTTAGGGCTCTGGATGTTGTAGGGTTGTGTTGGCTTACGCGACTCTGCAATAGTGCATGGACAATGGGGGAAGTTCCCCTGGATTGGCAGACCGGGGTGGTGGTCCCCCTATTCAAAAAGGGGGACCGTAGAGTGTGTTCCAACTACAGGGGGATCACGCTCTTAAGCCTCCCTGGTAAAGTCTATTCGGGGGTTCTGGAGAGGAGGGTTCGTTGGATAGTCGAACCTCGGATTCAGGAGGAGCAGTGCGGTTTTTGTCCTGGCCGTGGAACACTGGACCAGCTCTACACTCTCAGCAGGGTCCTGGAGGGTGCGTGGGAGTTTGCCCAACCAATCTACATGTGCTTTGTGGACTTGGAGAAGGCGTTCGACCGCATCCCTCTGTGAACCCTGTGGGGGGTACTCTGGGAGTATGGGGTACCGGGCCCTTTGATATGAGCTGTTAGGTCCCTGTATGATCGGTGTCAGAGCCTGTTTCGCATCGCCGGCAGTAAGTCGGGCTTGTTCCCAGTGAGAGCTGGACTCCGCCAAGGTTGCCCTTTGTCACCGATTCTGTTCATAACTTTTATGGACAGAATTTCTAGGCGCAGCCAATGTGTTGAGGGGATCCTTTTTGGTGGCCTTAGGATTGCGTCTCTGCTTTTTGCAGATGATGTGGTCTATTGGCTTCATCAGATCGTGATCTACAGCTTTCGCTGGAGCGGTTCGCAGCCGAGTGTGATGCGGCCGGGATGAAGATCAGTTCCTCCAAATCCAAGGCCATGGTCTTGAGCCGGAAAAGGGTAGAGTGCCCTCTCCAGGTCAGGGAGGAGGTCCTACCCCAAATGGAGGAGTTCAAGTATCTTGGGGTCTTGTTCACGAATGAGGGAAAAATGGAGCGTGAGATCGATAGGCGGTTAGGTGCAGCGTCTGCAGTGAAGCGGGCGCTGTACCGGTCTGTCGTGGTCAAGAGAGAGCTGAGTCAAAAGGCGAAGCTCTCAATTTACTGATCGATCTACGTTCCCACCCTCATCTATGGTCATGAGCTTTGGGTTGGGACCGAAAGAACGAGATCTCGGATACAAGCGGCCGAAATGAGTTTTCTCCGCAGGGTGTCTGGGCTCTCCCTCAGAGATAAGGTGAGAAGCTCGATCATCCGGGAGGGACTCAGAGTAGAGTCGCTGCTTCTCCACGTCGAGAGGAGCCAGTTGAGGTGGCTCGGGCATCTGTTTAGGATTCTTCCTGGACGCCTCCCTGGTGAGGTGTTCTGGACACGTCCCACCGGGAGGAGACCCAGAGGAAGACCCAGGACATGCTGGAGGGACTATGTTTCTCGGCTGGCATGGGAACGCCTCGTGATTCCCCCGGAGGAGCTGGCCCAAGTGGCTGGGGAGAGCGAAGTCTGGGCCTCCCTACTTAGGCCGCTACCCCCACGACCCGACCCCGGATAAGCGGAAGAAAATGGATGGATTGATGGATGGATGGTAGTCTGCCTCCTGCTGCACTGTGCCATCTGCCAGCGCTCTTGGCCACGCCCACTTCTCTGCTGCAGAGTGGAGATCAGCTGATCAGCTGTTGCAGGAAGCTTCTCTTGCAGTGTGGGCTGCACAAAGCTGCAGCAGGTGCTAAATAATTTAAAATAATTAATTTTAAATAAAATTCCATGCTGACCATGCGGCTCATCCATCAATCAGCCGATTGTGTGTCACGTCTACTTATTTTAAAAAACCTCGATAGAGCGAGTCCATGATAATTGAACCATGAAATAGTGAGGGACTACTGTAATGACAATTTTTAATAACATATAATATGTAAAATATGAATAATAAAAAATATATAATACCTTCATGAATTTTCAGACCTTTTGCAACAAAACTTGACAATTTCTGTCCAGTTCTTCTGGTGTCTGCTGAGAGGTTTTTGCAGCTGACCTGAGTCCACCTGACTGGACTTGGTGCATCTGTTTCTGTAGAAGACCTCCCAGATCACAGAGCAAAAACCAAACGCGCTCAGAGGATCTGTTAAAGCCGGTCCACCAGGGAGGCACGGTGGTGGCAGCACCATGAAACAGGCGGTTTTTAACGGTAGGGCTTGTAGCTCTCAGGGACAGGGTTCTTGTAAGGCACAGATCTGAAGAAGGGTCTGAGGGTCCCTCAGAGCTTAGTGGCCTCCATGGTTTAACAGAACCAGGACTCTTCCAGGAGCTGGTTTTTAATCCACACTAAGAGAGGAGACCAAGAAACTGATGGTAGCTCCGACTGAGCTTCAGAGATCATGTGTGGGGATGAGGCTAAGATCCAGAACCAGAACTGCAGTCTGGTTCTGGTCTTTATGGCAGAGTGGTCCAAAAGATCCTGCTCGATTCAGACTGAGAGAAACCATATCCTCTGGTCTGATGGAACCAAGACTGGATTGTCTGGTCTCAGTTCTGAATATTCTGTCTGGAGGACACAGCAGCTGCTCAGCACCATCCTCACATGGAAGCACGGTGGTGGCAGCATCATGATATGGGGTTGCAGGGACCTGAAAGTCCATTTAGGGTCAACAAACAGAAATGCCCTCAATGAAAACCTGTTCTGCAGAGCTCAGAACTCCAAACTGGACCAAAGTTCACAGAGAAGACCCACGGACCAGAGTTCCAACCAGAACCTTATCAAACGGGTCCACCAATGACCCCCATCCAACCAGACTGAGAGGATCTGTAGGGACCACCAATCCATAAAGCCCAAAGGCCAAAACTGCTGCAGAAGGTGCTTCAACTCAGGACAGAAGGTACAAGGACGTCCTGAAGCTGCTGAATGTTTCCTTCACCGCAGCCTGAAAACATCCAAACATCTCCGCTCAATATTTTCTGGAGACGGCTGAAAAAGTCTGGTCGAGTCTGACATGACTTAATGAAAGTTTGCTCTGTGTCTCCAGCCAGAAGCAGCCACAGAACCGCCGTCTCCGCTGGTTCCCTTCTTACATAAGTATGCCAACGTCAACAGCAAGAAGCCGTCGGTAAGTATCGGACCGATTCAGCACTGCTCACGAAGCTTCGGCTGTCACTTGAAACTTCTTTTCTGGTTTGGGCTTCTCCAGGTGCTGAAGTTGGAGCTGAAGGAGATCCGTGAGCAGCAGGACCTCCTGTTTCGCTTCATTAACTTCCTGAAGCAGGAAGGAGCTGTGCACGTGCTGCAGTTCTGCCTCGCCGTGGGTAAGATCACCACCCAGCCTCGTTTGTTCAGCGGCTGAGTCAGGCTAATCATCTGAGTCCTGCGGTCTTCCAGAGGAGTTCAACAACAAGATCCTGAGTCCAGAGCTGAACGACCCGGAGCTACAGCGTCTCCATGCCGAGGTGGTGCACATCCACGAGACCTACTGCCTGGACGAAAGCATCGACAAGATCAACTTCGACTCGTTGATCATGGAGGAGATCAGGAACAGTAAGACATCCTGTCTTTGTTGGTCTGTAAGCAAAATATCTCAAGACCCACTGGATAAACTGAAGAAATCCTCGAAGTAATCATTGGTTGGACATCTGCAGCTGTCAACCCAATTCAAGATGGCCGAGGAGAGAGGGGAAGGGGACAGAGACCGTAATGACCCTCAGGTGGGGGGAGACAAATAGACTGATGACCATCAGGAGGGACGGAGGGGAGGGAGACAGAGATCGTAATGACCCTCAGGTGGGGGGAGACAAATAGACTGATGACCATCAGGAGGGAGTGAGAGACAGAGTCTGTAATGACCCTCAGGTGGGGGGAGACAAAGAGACTGATGTCTCTCAGGGTGGATTGGAGGGAGACAGACCTTAGTGACCCTCAGGTGGGGGGGAGACAAATAGACTGATGACCATCAGGA